GATATGTATATATGTGACCAAACACATGAACACAAAGACATCTAGACATCTTATGCCATATCTCTGATTATTAGCAAAATAAATACATTTAGAAAAAGTGCTTTAGAGGTATTTCCTGTCCAGTGATGGCCAAACACCATAGTCTATAAATACCATAAAATATATAATTGAGATGAGAGGATGCCTTGTGACTACAAATTTTATGTAGATTGTGTCCTGTTGATCTTCCTGGTAAAAGTGCAACAAGCATTGCCACGTCTAATGTCTTTGACATTTCAAAACATCTTTCTGTCTTTTAAATCAGGCATGGACAACCCATGTTGGAAAGACTGCCAGTGCATCCTGTTTTGGAGTCCTTGTGCCTCACTTCTCCCCTCACAAATCATGTGGGAATAGCAATTTCTATTCCCCCTGTGAGGAAGCAGAATTGATTGCCCAATTGGTTTTTTACTCCACCTTGTTTACCAGAGGTGGACCTCTGCAAAGGGGCTAGTACCCAATTTCTTCCCCTCAAACCCTCTTGCAGGCTGCATTTCCCTGATGGTGATCCCAAATACTATGTCATCTCCAGTATAATAACCAGACATGGTATAAGTTTGTATCACAATTTTGAGAAGAACTCTGAAAAAGTAGAGATATTAGGCATTCTCTATGGAGTGTTTTTCTGCATGTTTCTGTGGTTTCTCAGCTCTCTGTAATGCTTGGGCAATGGTGGCCTTCAGGGGCTGTAAAAAGGGGATCCAGGAGCTACATATGTAAATGTTTGTGGCTTATGTTTTACCCATTCATGTTGTATGTAAAGTCATCATCTTAAAACATTCATTAGATCCCTTTAAAAACTTATTACAACACTGCAGCATTTTAAGAAGTTAAGAAGGAAACCTTAACTCACAAACTAGATTAAAAACATATCTCAGTAGGGCTCATAGACTGTAATGGACAGATAGTTCTTAATGTGGCACTGAAATAAGAATGTGAGTAGCAGTTGCCTTTCAAAAGGAGGACATTCCAGAATGTTACAGATGGGAATGCCCTGGCTCACATCCCTGTACAGTGTACTGCTTAAAAAGATGCAGCAGAAGTGGATTCCCTTTGGCTTTATTCTCCTCTGAAGTAATGTTTGTCGAGGGAGTCACTCCTGTCACCTCTGTTCCTTCCTATGGGTTTGCTGGAGTGTGGACCACAGTGATCTTCACCAGGATTCTTTGGGTGTAGGGTAGGCTTGTGCCGTCAGGATAAACCTTGACCCGGTTCATGTCCCAGCTTTTGGTGGGGCCCTGTTCCATTTTTGTGGGAGACTCCCAAAATCAGGAGGACAGATACCTGTTTAACTTCAGGGTGCTGAAGTATCAGTTTTCTATTGGCCCATTACTTGGGGGGAGGAGAGCTTCCCAGGCTCCCCTTTCTGTCATTTTAGGTATTTAAGCTGTTTTACTCTAGAGGAGAAGAACTCAGCTGCAGTCATGCATGAGCTTTAAGGAGGCCTCTTACCTGTTTCTACTCTAGAGGAGAGGTGCTCGGCTGCAGGCAGGTGCGCACACTTTTTGGGCCTGCACGCCACACATGCACTCTGTTTTTCCAAGGCAAGGAGACAAGTTCTGTCTTTCTTACTCTAGAGGAGGCAGTTAGCTCCAGGAAGGTACACATACAGGGCCTGCATGCCACATGCACACTCACTCTTTCCAAGGCAAGGAGGCAAGTTCTGACTTTTTTTACTCTAGAGGAGGCACTCAGCTGCAGACAAGCACCCATTCTGGGGCTGCATGCCAAACACACTCTTCCTCTTTCCAAGGCAAGGAGGCAAGTTCTGACTTTTTACTCTAGAGGAGGCACTCAGCTGCAGACAGGCCCATACACTGGGCCTGCATGCCACACACACATTCTTTCTTTCCAAGGCAAGGAGGCATGCCACATGCTCACGAAAGCAGAAGGGGAGCCAATGATCGACTCCTGCTTGCTTTTGTGTCGAGCTGATTTTCACCGAGAGGGAGCCTCCCATAATGTGTTCCCAAACATAATAAAAGTACTGAAAGAACAGATGTAACACAGGGAAACAGATCTACATGCAACTCTAGTGGAGGATTACTTAAATCCTAATCAAAAACTGCTAGGAGGAAGACAACAAAAAGCATCCCCTTCCCAGCAAGCTGGAACCTATTATATGTGTTTATGTGTTTGGTGAGCAGGTTGTATTGTAAACACTCACAATATGTCAAACCTGGTCCCCATGGCCACAAACATATTTTTCAACAAGAACTGCCAGAAAGGGACTTTTCCTTTAATTCGTTTCTGTCACGATCTCTAAATATGGGTAGCCCTGAAGCACCTGTCCAATGTAATAAACAAGGCAATACCTTTGATCCTGTGCAATGTGTGTTTCCGTTAAGCACAGATCAGTTGCAAGCAGTCAACAAATGTCTGAGATTAAGGGCAGCAACTTCCATAACAAGAAGTTTGCCTTTCAAATGAATGTAAACGTAGCACAAATTTCTATCTTCTTTTGTGATGGTTCCAGGAGTCGTTTGTGATAGTTCCCCCTTCATGTGTTTTTGCAGTTGTTTTGATTTTTTTAAAATAATCCTGCCCTCTTCCATATACCCCCTAAAGCTCAAATCTTGAATATTTAGATGTTGTTATGCATGTATTTATAGTGATTTTTCAATGTTGCATTTCTTCAGCAAGATGAGTGTGGAGTTTGGGGAGGGGGAGAGATGCTCCCTGTTTGTCTGGCCACTAAAAGAAGTCAGTGAATAAATACTAATAAAAAGAAGGAAATTAGCATTTCAAATGTGCTGGATGAAAGTGATATCTCTGGTGTTTTGTGACAGTTATATATTCATTTAGCGGTGGCTGGTGCAGTAATAATTTAGAGTACTTTCATATTTAGGTTTGGCAGCCTAATTCATTTTGATCCTCCAAGTACATCAAAGCTTTGTTTTTGTTTTTCCAAAGCACTAAAACAGGGAGACAAAAGTCTGGGAGAGGAGAGTTAGCTCCTCATTCCACCCTTTGACAGCATTACTTCACACATGTCCATTAGAACAAGATGTTGTCTTGCTCTAATTGTATGCAATTAATGAACAATAATTAGAATTATGCCGTTAATGTGAAATCATTATTTTTCTTTATTTTTCTCTCTGTTATATATAATGCATAAATATCAATATATATTCCACACTTGCGCTAATGTAGCATGCAGGAGAAAGTGTTTTGTAATGACTTTTCTTTTAGCACAGCATGCCTCTTGAGTATTTCTTCTGCCCATTTCTAGTGTATTCCCTTATCATTTATTATGTACTCCTTGTTATTGAGGTCTGTGTAGCCAAGGAGGATGTATTCTATCTCATTTCCAGATGAAGCTGAGGGATATAGAGAATATATTGTCAACAAAACATGTAAATAACCCATAACAAAATTTTATAAATCCCGAAGAGATAGCAAATAGAGTAAATGATGCTTAGGGGATACTAGACACTTGGTGATGCATCCAGACATCTAAAATTTGTTGTGTTACTAGAATCAAAGTTGATCATTATTATATTTCAATTAGTGTCTGACAGGATACAGTTTAGGAAACATTCCTTGATGTGGATCAGGATGGTCAATATCAAACCTCTAAAGCAGACCTGCACAACCCATGACCTTCCAGATGTTTTTGGACTTCAGCTCCCAGAATTCCTGACCATTGGACAAGCTGGCTAGGCTTCTGGGAATTAGAAGTCCAAATACCCAAGGGCCACAGTTTGAGCAGACATGCTCTAAGGTATTGTGAAACTACAACTCCTATTAACCCTAGTCAGCATAGCTCATAGTGAAGACTGACTGAGAGTGCCTGCAGTCCAAAAATATTTGGAGGGCCTCAAATTGTCCAGTCAATGTATATTTATTTATTTGTTTATTTGTTTATTAACTTTATTTGTACCCCGCTACCATCTCCCCAAGGGACTCAATGCGGCTTACATGAGGCCGAGCCCAAACACAACAACAAAAGCAATAAAACATCAATACAAGCAATTAAAAAATAGACAATAAAATACACAATATTATCAAAAAAGCAACACATGAAGCAGTGGGAAGGCCAAATGTAGAGTTAAAATTGGAAATAATGCTGGGCCATGAACGAAAGATGATATTGGTGTTTGTGGAGGGCATACAAGCAGACTCAGGGAAATGTAAAGTGCTTTGGAGGACAAAGTGCTATGGGATTCATTATTCCGGGAAGTCACACTGGAACAGCCACGTCTTCAAGCTCCTCCTGAAGACTGCCAGAGTTGGGGCCTGTCTGATGTCTTTAGGGAGTGAGTTCCAGAGTCAAGGGGCCACCACCGAAAATGCCCTCTTCCTCGTCCCCACCAAATGCGCCCGCGATGCTGGTGGGATCGAGAGTAGGGCCTCTCCGGAAGATTGAAGGGATCGTGTGGGTTCGTATACAGAGATGCGATCACGTAGGTAGGCGGGTCCCAAACCATTCAGGGCTTTATAGGTAAGAACCTGAACCTTGAATTGGGTCCGGTAGATGAATGGCAGCCAGTGGAGCTCCTTGAACAGGAGGGATGATTGCTCTCTGTAAGGAGCCCCAGTTAACAACCTGGCTGCCGCCCGTTGGATCATCTGAAATTTCCGGGCCGTTTTCAAGGGCAGCCCCACGTAGAGTGCATTGCAGTAATCCAGTCTAGAGGTGACTAAGGCGTGGACCACCTTGGCCAGATCTGCCTTCACTAGGTACGGTCGCAGTTGACGCACAAGTCTTAATTGTGCAAAGGCCCTCCCGGCCACCACCAACGCCTGAGCCTCAAATGTAAGTGAAGAATCCAGGAGGACCCCCAAACTGCGGACCTGTGACTTCAGTATATAAGTGGTGAAAGCAGAAAGGAAAAACATACTTTGGATATCTCATGTGTTTTCTTTTTTTCAGACAAGGAAATAAATCATCTTTGAACTAATAAAATGGAACTGCTCTCATATCTTCCACTAACATATCAACTATTCTTGCATTTCAGAACTTTTCAGGATCTTTCCAAACAAATGGATGTATCTTATGGCACCGTCAGGGATTCTGCTGTTTATGAATACTTTAAAGCCAAAGGAACAAATCCTTTAGAACAAGACAGCACCTTTGCTGAATTGTGGAAGACAATCAGTAAGAATAATGGAGCTGATAACTGTGTGGCAAACCCTTCTGAAGGCATCAGGAAGGTAAGAAGGGATGAATCATGAATTTGTCCATAGAAGATTTTTACTCAATATCTCCATGTAAGGTGATTCAAAGCTATTTTATGTTTTGAGAAGCAATCAGCCAGTAATAAGATGTGTTTTAAGGACAAGCAAAGAAAATGAAGCACGGTATTGCAATGCTAGTTATTCTTCCTAACAAAGCTTGCAAGTCTGTTTAGAACTAGAGTCGTAGTGTCTTTCCTTTCCTATTTGACACAGAGATAGGCACATCAGTGACAATCAAAATCATCCTGCCTTTGATAAGCTTACATTTGATTTCTGACTTTTCCAAAGTTTTTGTTCTGATCCATTGCAATGTTATTTGTACTTCTTCATGAATCCCTGATTCCTAGATTATTTTCACTGGGTGTTATTTCAAATTCTTCTTTGTACTGCAGACATTGCTAAGCTAGTCATTTACATGGTAATTCTAAACACAGCCTTATAAAAGGCTTTCAGTGGGTTATAATCTAACAATTGTAAAATAAATAAATAAATAAATTGAAAATAAATACATGTAGTACAAATTCAGAAGCTAACATTCTGTGCAGAATGCAGCATATATATATATATATATATATATATATATATATATATATATATATATATATATATATATATATATATATATATGAATGATAAGCATCTCACAAATACAGAGGCCGCATCTAAACTCCATATAAGTATATTACATAGCAGTGTAGATGGGGATAGAGACTAATCTACCAATAAAGATGATGCTCTTTGAAGTTGGAAGTTGGAGTCTGTCAGAAAGTGAGATTTAAGCTTGCTTTAGTTGCTCTCAGTAGGTGTAACTAAAAAGAAAACTAAGATCTTGTTAGTTTTTATATAAATGTCTTCTACCTTAATTGCACCCCAGTACTTCAAGTGCATGTCATAATTTCTCCTTCCTCACTTCATGTAGTTGAGACATCTGAAAAACTTGCAAGATTGTGTATGTTTTATGTCTTTTTGGTCCTATTCAGAATAATCTAATATGGATTTCAGAATGTGTATCACGGGTGATGTTACCTCTTTCTTTCTTTCTTTCTTTCTTTCTTTCTTTCTTTCTTTCTTTCTTTCTTTCTTTCTTTCTTTCTCCCTCCTGTTGATGTCCTTATTTGCCATGTATCTTCCCAATCTATATAAACCTCATGTTTGCCTCATTAGTAGAAGACTTCTTAGAAAACTTCTCTCACTTGCACTATTGGCACATGACAGGGATCACTTCACTTTTCCCATCATTATGCATGTGAATATACATATTTCCACCTAAGTTGACTTTAGGCATCCTACTATGTGGAGGTGCACAAATACTAATACTGATCTGTATGTATCCACATACACAATCTTTCTTTAAAAAATTACAAAAATCAGACATGAATGAGCCAACTTCTGGTAGAAATTATCATGTGACCTACTGGCCTTAGTCACCTCCCACCCACCTATTCAGCCCAACCCAATTTATCTCCTAACTCTACTGTGAAGTTTTCTATTGAGAATGGGCACATGACAAAATACTTGGAATAGATGTAAATTTTCAGCCAGAATGTAGGATAAATGCCTTTTTAAATAGTTATTGAAGCACCAAAGATCCAGTTGAAATACTGTCATGAACCAGATGCCTTAAAGGAGCCAAACACAAGTAAAAGGTCCAAACAAGATTTATTGTCACAACAAAAATAGCTTAGAACTCAGTGTATATAGCAAGAAAACAAAGTCTGTAGCAAACTGCTATGCAAAAAACATAACTAGAAAATAATCCGGATTATACTGGAATATAATCCGGGATTACAAAAAGTTCCAGCAAACTGCTCCAAAGTCACTGAGTTCTTGAAACACAAAGAAACAAGGTGGAAGCAAGCAAAAACTTTGTCAGAAAGCAGTCCCAAGTCGAAGCACGTCCAAAAGCAGAAGTTCAGGTCCAAAACGCGACGTCGTTGTCCAAAAACAATCCGGAGTCAGAAGGGAAGTAGAAGTCAGCACTTATGAGATTCCAGTCAGTAGAAACACGGTATCGCAGCAATCTGCAGTCCCAGGACCCAAGGTGAGAGTAATGGCAGCAACAATGTCCCAAGCCCGAATACAAAACTTTGCCTACTGCAAATTCCCCAATGTTTGATACCTTCTTTTATCCTATAACTCATTATCGGGTGATGAACTGCTCTCCACCCTGTCTTCATCACTCTCAGCTGCCTTAGCTTCCACAGCTGCTCGCCACCACCCATCCTTCCAACTTTTCCAGTGTCTATCAAGACTTAGATCACCCCATGTATTAACAGGTTGCCAGTCTCCCGAAAACCCTTCAAACTCATCACTAGATGTTGGTTGCGTACATATGTCTCTGATCTCTTGCACACGGGTCCAGTCCAGCCCATCCTCCTCTCCGTTATCACTCCCAGTCCGATCACTCCCCATGAACCCCATAAAGTCTTCCTCCTCCGTTGGAGCCTTAAGTATTTCACAAATCCACTTCCTTTCCCGTTCTTCATATGACTCTTGCTCCCAAGTAACCCGCTTCAAACCTCTACTCCCGTCTCCCTCCTTCTCCATTTCAGAATCTGAGAAACCTTCGAACGAATCAGTATCTGTAGGTGTCATGAATATCTCTCTAATTCGTTTCCTTTGCTGCTGCTCTTGTTCCAACACCTGAGCAGCCCTCTTTCCCCTTCTACTACCAGTTGTAGCTTGACCAGCACACTCTACTACAACAAATACTGTGTGTCAGGAAAGTGGATGCTACAAAATGAATAGAAATTTAGTCCATGTAGGCAAGCCACAAGATAAATGACCAAATTTCACATTTGATCCTTCATTTGGAATGTGACTATATCCATAATTGGAGAGCAAACTTCCATAACTCTTTGTTGCTTCAGCTGGTGTTTTATTTATTCACTCTCATCCAGTTGAGAAGTAAATGCAGGGCTTTATCATCTATTTAGCTATCTACCATCCATCTATCTGACATCTATCACAGCTTGTGAAAAGGATAGAAAGAAAATATTTGAAATTAATGCAGAACCATTACTTCTGCTGGAATGGTGCTCAAATAAAAACAAGAAGGAAATAGAAGGAAGTAATAGTGATAATCAGTAAGCAAATAAAGCTTTTATTGATTAATCAGTGAAATCACGTTTTAATTAGGAAGACTGAGAGTTAAAAGCTCATCAGTTGATTTCATAACACAGCTTTGGCTCTGGTATATATCTGGATTATGTACAATTATTAAAAATGATATTTTCTTTTGAAAACAATTAGTAGCCTTCCTTGATTAAGTACAAATTCTATATCAAAAAGACATTTCTATTGATGTTTTTATAATATGCACAATCATCTTAATTTAACCAATTAATTAAAAATCAACTTCCCTTAATTAGATAAATTAAAGCTAAAAGAACTAGCTCTAAAGAAGTGTTTGAAATTGTATGTAACAGATGCAGTGATGTGAAAATACCCTGAATGACTACATTCTGTTGCCAGTTTATTTTATTTTATACAATTCTCAATGCTGTAGTTCACTGTGTTCAATCGATGCTCTTATCATATTCTTCTGAACAGTGAGCACCAGCTCTGGACATTCTTGTTCTTCTCCGCATAAGCATATGTGTTATACTAGAAAATCAAGGGTGCACATTTAATGGACTGAAGAAAATATAATTATAAATACATGCCAGATATTATCGAAGGCTTTCATGGCCAGAATCACTGGGTTGTTGTAGATTTTTCCAGGCTTTATGGCCATGTTCTAGAGGCATTTTCTCCTGATGTTTCGCCTGCATCTATGGCAAGTATCCTCAGAGGTAGTGAGTTATGTTGGAAGTAGGAAAATGGGTTTATATATCTGTGGAATGACCAGGGTGGGACAAAGGACTTCTGTCTGCTGGAGTGAATGTTTCAACTGACCACCTTGATTAGCATTTAATGGCTTGGAAGTGCCTGGGGGGAATATTTTGTTGGGAGTGATTTGATGTGCCTGATTGTTTTCTCTCTGTTGTTTTGCTGTTGTAATTTTTGAGTGTTTTAATACTGGTAGCCAGATTTTGATCATTTTCATGGTTTCCTCCTTTCTGTTGAAATTGTCCACATGCTTGTGGATTTCAATGGCTTCTCTGTGTAGTCTGACATGGTGGTTGTTAGAGTGGTCCAGCATTTCTGTGTTCTCAAATAAAATGCTGTGTCCAAGTCTGGGTCATCAGGTGCTCTGCTATGGCTGATTTCTCTGGTTGAAGTAGTCTGCAGTGCCTTTCATGTTCCTTGATTCGTGTTTGGGCAATGCTGCGTTTGGTGGTCCCTATGTAGACTTGTCCACAGCTGCATGGAATATGGTAGACTCCTGCAGAGGTGAGAGGATCCCTCTTGTCCTTTGCTGAACGTAGCATTTGTTGGATTTTCTTGGTGGGTCTGTAGGTGGTTTGTATGTTGTGTTTCCTCATCAGCTTCCCTATGCGGTCAGTGGTTCCCTTGATGTATGGCAAGAACACTTTTCCTCTGGGTGGATCTTCACCATTACTCTTGTGGCTTGTTCTTGGTCTTGCAGCTCTTCTGATGTCTGAGGTGGAGTGTCCATTGGCCTGGAGAGCCCAGTTGAGGTGGTTCAGTTCATCTTGGAGGAGGTGGGGTTCGCAAATTCTTTTTGCACGGTCTGCCAAGGCTTTAATGGTGCTTCTTTTTTTGACTTGGGTGACATACCATATAGTTGTCATATAAGAACCTTTTCATGAGATACCATTGTACAATTGTTGCTCTACTTTAAGTGGTGTGGCTCTGATCTATGAAATATTGGAATAGGCATCTTAAAGTCAATTTTTAGAATTCTCAAGCCCAGAATTTTAGTGCTTCTGATCAAACAATAACCTCCAGGATTCCATAGAGTACAGCTATGGCAACGGCAATGAAATCATAGTGCTCTGTGAAAAGACTGTAAGTCCTCCAAAATCTGCAATCACAAACTGCCCAAGAATGAAATTATCACCCCTTGAAAG